ACTGGCTATGAGGGGTTTGGAGGGTGACAGGCTCCTTTCTGGCTATGAAGGGGTTAAGGAAAGCCTGTGGACCCACTTGGCCCTGCCCCACTACACCTGCAGCCAAAGTCAGGGATAGAGAGGGGAGATAAAAGGAGAGGGCCTTGCCCAACTCAGGGCTAACCAGGCAGAAGGGCAGAGCTCTGGTTCTCTGGGTAGAAGAGAAGCCTTCCTGCAGCCCGGATGAACCCCTCTGGAAGAGCTGATCAGACCCAGGGAAGGGACTTGGTGGAAGCACAGACTGTTTTGGAAATGAGCCATGTGGGGCCAGGTTGAATGTTTGTGGGATGAGCCTTGTTTTGAGTTGGGCTTATTTTTGTTCCTGATTGCCTCTGAACCTTCAATACCCTGAGAAGGGTAGGACTGAAGGCCAGAAGGCCAAAACCGCACTGTACTGGACCTCACTGGGAAAGAGACCCACCAGCATCTGGGTGAGCTATGCCTGGAAGGGCCACAAGGGGACCCACCCCAACAACCTGGTTACAAGGGTATCCATTAAATAGCAAAAGCACTTCAATAAATACTATCCATGTGCATGGGGCGGGAGTTAATCTTGTGGTGGCTTCCTTAACTCTTGGAATGTCCTGGTTTCTCAAGATTAACAATGTATCAAAACGAGCTTTTGCGTTTAATTATACTGCATGAGGGAATCACGAAACGTAGAGGTGGAAAAGACCTTTTAGGCAGTTCAGAACTCTGGGTTTGGTTCAGATTCCACTGAAGATAATGGCTCAAGGCCTGTTTCTCCTGGAAATAATGGTGTCAGGTCTACGTAATGCATGGCAAGGGGCTATATTCTCATGGTGCAATCTTGTGAGGGGAATGACATTTACTGATGTCACAGATTTATCCGAGTATGATTCAAATCTTTTTTGCAAACCTGAGTTCAGTTACTGTTCAGATGGACACGATATCCTTGTTATGAATTTGCCAGTAATCTTTCCTTATTTCAGAGCACCTTTGGCTCATCAAGGATTTCACTCTTTATGCTCGGGACCAAATAAATCTGTTGTGTAACATCAGGAATGTCTGTAAAATTAAACTAGGGTGGACGTTGGCTTGTCTTGTCTTCTAGGTCACCCTGCTCCTGTCCTGCCTAATCTAGTATTTCTCAGTCAACTGCCCTCTCTTCTCATTCTCTTTGTCTGCCCATTGCATTAGTCAGTTTTGTTCTGTAACATGAACTTCCAGTTCAATTTCATTCTTATGCAGATGATATACAACTTCATTTCTCAGCTTGCCCTCTGGAACTCCCTGTGAACTCCCATTGTCTTACTACCATTAGTAATTGAATGTCTCCAAATTTTCTAAAACTCTCCGCTACTGTAGTGTAAAACTGAAGTGACCCCACAGGATTCAGCTGGAATATTTTTTTTTTCCAAATGTAACTTGCACATCTTCAGAACTAGGAACTTTGTTTCTAGCACATCAAAAATATGCAATTCTGGCTGCCTTTACGATGTGGGATTGAATTACAATGATCATGGCAAGTGAGCTTTGCCAGATTACCTATTATTGCCCTTGTTAGAACTTGCCTGAGTTGGAATTTTTGAATCCATCCCTCATTTGTATGGCATTTGGAGATTTCTGATCTTCTGTCAGTACTTTAGTTTTTGCAGGTATCAGGTGGTTATGAATTATGCAGGTCAATATGAATTATGAATTGGAAGGTCACTTAGCTAATTAAAAATGAAACACATCACACAAGAACATTGAATTTTCAATATCTGACCTAACCATCTAGTCCAGAATCCTGGGTGCTAGCGGCTATGCTGTACACTTCAGAGAGAGTGAATCCTGATAATGCATCTATGCAGGTGTGGAAGGTCAGAGAGGAAAAAATTCTAACTGTTTGAAACTACCGATCAGCTTACACGCAGATTATTTCAACTAGGAAAAAAAAACACAATACATATAAAACACTGATAAAATCCTCCATAATTATAGTAACATGAGGCTTGGTAGCCTAGCTAGCATCTGATCCAAATTTTAGCTGTGAGCAGATACACAACTTATATCAAGGAAGATGGTGACTAATGCAAGATCTAAAACCAGGCATCAGGTTGTTCTAATGTCAAATCCCTTCATCAGCTCCTTCTTGGACAGCTCCTTTAAACAATCAGCAGAAACGGGTGGGATTTCAAATTTCCCTCTCCTGCAGATGGCCTTGGCTGTTAGGAACCATTTTTTCATTGTTGTCTGGAAGACTCAGGACCAAATATAGTCCACGGTGTAAGCATCCTTTAGCTTCTGTGGAGTTGGAACTTGGTTCATTCAGCTGTCTCAGAGCACAGACTGTTGAAAAGATGTCTATTAGTTCTGAAAACTTAGCATATGCTATTCCAGGAACTTCTTAGGGTATGTCTACACTACGAAATTAGGTCGAATTTATAGAAGTCGGTTTTTTAGAAATCGGTTTTATATATTCGAGTGTGTGTGTCCCCACAGAAAATGCTCTAAGTGCATTAAGTGCATTAACTCGGTGGAGCGCTTCCACAGTACCGAGGCAAGCGTCGACTTCCAGGAGCGTTGCACTGTGGGTGGCTATCCCACAGTTCCCGCAGTCTCCGCCACCCATTGGAATTCTGGGTTGAGATCCCAATGCCTGATGGGGCTAAAACATTGTCGCGGGTGGTTCTGGGTACATATCGTCAGGCCCCCGTTCCCTCCCTCCCTCCGTGAAAGCAAGGGCAGACAATCATTTCACGCCTTTTTCCTGAGTTACCTGTGCAGACGCCATACCACGGCAAGCATGGAGCCCGCTCAGGTAACCGTCACCCTATGTCTCCTGGGTGCTGGCAGACGCGGTACTGCATTGCTACACTGCAGCATCAACCCCTTGCCTTGTGGCAGCAGACGGTACAGTACGACTGGTAGCCGTCATCGTCATGTCCGAGGTGCTCCTGGCCACGTCGGCTGGGAGCGCCTGGACAGACATGGGCGCAGGGACTAAATTTGGAGTGACTTGACCAGGTCATTCTCTTTAGTCCTGCAGTCAGTCCTATTGAACCGTCTTATGGTGAGCAGACAGGCGATACGGATTGCTAGCAGTCCCATTGTACCATCTTCTGCCGAGCAGCCATGAGATGTGGATGGCATGCAGTCCTTCTGCACCGTCTGCTGCCAGCCAAAGATGTAAAAGATAGATGGAGTGGATCAAAACAAGAAAGACCAGATTTGTTTTGTACTCATTTGCTTCCCCCCCTCCCCTGTCTAGGGGACTCATTCCTCTAGGTCACACTGCAGTCACTCACAGAGAAGGTGCAGCGAGGTAAATCTAGCCATGTATCAATCAGAGGCCAGACTAACCTCCTTGTTCCAATAAGAACAATAACTTAGGTGCACCATTTCTTATTGGAACCCTCCGTGAAGTCCTGCCTGAAATACTCCATGATGTAAAGCCACCTCCTTTGTTGATTTGAGCTCCTTGAAGCCAACCCTATAAGTCGTGTCGTCAGTCGCCCCTCCCTCCGTCAGAGCAACGGCAGACAATCGTTCCGCGCCTTTTTTCTGTGCGGACGCCATACCAAGGCAAGCATGGAGGCCGCTCAGCTCACTTTGGCAATTAGGAGCACATTAAACACCACACGCATTATCCAGCAGTATATGCAGCACTGGAACCTGGCAAAGCGATACCGGGCGAGGAGGCGACGTCAGCGCGGTCACGTGAGTGATCAGGACATGGACACAGATTTCTCTGAAAGCATGGGCCCTGCCAATGCATGCATCATGGTGCTAATGGGGCAGGTTCATGCTGTGGAACGCTGATTCTGGGCTCGGGAAACAAGACTGGTGGGACCGCATAGTGTTGCAGGTCTGGGACGATTCCCAGTGGCTGCGAAACTTTCGCATGTGTAAGGGCACTTTCATGGAACTTTGTGACTTGCTTTCCCCTGCCCTGAAGCGCATGAATACCAAGATGAGAGCAGCCCTCACAGTTGAGAAGCGAGTGGTGATAGCCCTGTGGAAGCTTGCAATGCCAGACAGCTACCGGTCAGTTGGGAATCAATTTGGAGTGGGCAAGTCTACTGTGGGGGCTGCTGTCATGCAAGTAGCCCACACAATCAAAGATCTGCTGATATCAAGGGTAGTGACCCTGGGAAATGTGCAGGTCATAGTGGATTGCTTTGCTGCAATGGGATTCCCTAACTGTGGTGGGGCCATAGACGGAACCCATATCCCTATCTTGGCCCCAGAGCACCAAGCTGGTGAGTACATAAACCGCAAGGGGTACTTTTCAAAAGTGCTGCAAGCTCTGGTGGATCACAACGGATGTTTCACCAACATCAACGTGGGATGGCTGGGAAAGGTACATGACGCTCGCATCTTCAGGAACTCTGGTCTGTTTCAAAAGCTGCAGGAAGGGACTTTATTCCCAGACCAGAAAATAACTGTTGGGGATGTTGAAATGCCTATATGTATCCTTGGGGACCCAGCCTACCCCTTAATGCCATGGCTCATGAAGCCGTACACAGGCAGCCTGGACAGTAGTCAGGAGCTGTTCAACTACAGGCTGAGCAAGTGCAGAATGGTGATAGAATGTGCATTTGGATGTTTAAAAGCGCGCTGGCGCAGTTTACTGACTCGCTTAAACCTCAGCGAAACCAATATTCCCACTGTTATTACTGCTTGCTGTGCGCTCCACAATATCTGTGAGAGTAAGGGGGAGACGTTTATGGCGGGGTGGGAGGTTGAGGCAAATCGCGGTTAGAAGAGCACAGGAGGGGCGCGGCACGCATCAGAGAAGCTTTGAAAACCAGTTTCATGACTGGCCAGGCTACGGTGTGAAAGTTCTGTTTGTTTCTCCCTGATGAAACCCCCTGCCCCGTAGTTCGCTCTACTTCCCTGTAAGCTAACCACCCACCCCTCCCCCCTTCGATCACCACTTGCAGAGGCAATAAAGTCATTGTTGCTTCACATTCATGCATTCTTTATTCATTCATCACACAAATAGGGGGATGACTACCAAGGTAGCCCAGGAGGGGTGGTGGAGGAGGGAAGGAAAATGCCACACAGCACTTTAAGCACAGCACTTTAAAAGTTTACAACTTTAAAATTTATTGAATGACAGCCTTCATTTTTTTGGGCAATCCTCTGTGGCGGAGTGGCTGGTTGGCCGATGGCCCCCCCACCACGTTCTTGGGCGTCTGGGTGTGGAGGCTATGGAACTTGGGGAGGAGGGCGGTTGGTTACAGAGGGGCTGTAGCGGTGGTCTGTGCTCCAGCTGCCTTTGCTGCAGCTCAACCATACACTGGAGCATACTGGTTTGGTCCTCCAGCATCCTCAGCATTGAATCCTGCCTCCTCTCATCACGCTGCCGCCACATTTGAGCTTCAGCCCTCTCTTCAGCCCGCCACTTACTCTCTTCAGCCCGCCACTTACTCTCTTCATCCCGCCACCTCTCCTCCCGGTCATTTTGTGCTTTCCTGCACTCTGACATTATTTGCCTCCACGCATTCGTCTGTGCTCTGTCAGTGTGGGAGGACAGCATGAGCTCAGAGAACATTTCATCACGAGTGCGTTTTTTTTTCTTTTTAATCTTCACTAGCCTCTGGGAAGGAGAAGATCCTGTGATCGTTGAAACACATGCAGCTGGTGGAGAAAAAAAGAAGGGACAGCAGTATTTAAAAAGACACATTTTATAAAACAGTGGCTACACTCTTTCAGGGTAAACCTTGCTGTTAACATTACATACATAGCACATGTGCTTTCGTTACAAGGTCGCATTTTGCCTCCCCCCCACCGTGTGGCTATCCCCTCAACCCTCCCCCCTCCCCGTGGCTAACAGCGGGGAACATTTCTGTTCAGCCACAGGCAAACAGCCCAGCAGGAACGGGCTCCTCTGAGTGTCCCCTGAAGAAAAGCACCCTCTTTCAACCAGGTGACCATGAATGATATCTCACTCTCCTGAGGATAACACAGAGAGATAGAGAACGGATGTTGTTTGAACGCCAGCAAACATACACTGCAATGCTTTGTTCTACAATGATTCCCGAGTACGTGTTACTGGCCTGGAGTGGTAAAGTGTCCTACCATGAAGGACGCAATAAGGCTGCCCTTCCCAGAAACCTTTTGCAAAGACTTTGGGAGTACATCCAGGAGAGCCGCGAATGCCAGGGCAAAGTAATCCTTTCACACGCTTGCTTTTAAACCATGTATAGTATTTTAAAAGGTACACTCACCGGAGGTCCCTTCTCCGCCTGCCGGGTCCAGGAGGCAGCCTTGAGTGGGTTCAGGGGGTACTGGCTCCAGGTCCAGGGTGAGAAACAGTTCCTGGCTGTCGGGAAAAGCGGTTTCTCCGCTTGCTTGCTGTGAGCTATCTACAACCTCATCATCATCATCATCTTCTTCGTCCCCAAAACCTGCTTCTGTGTTGCCTCCATCTCCGTTGAAGGAGTCAAACAACATGGCTGGGGTAGTGGTGGCTGAACCCCCTAAAATGGCATGCAGCTCATCATAGAAGCGGCATGTTTGGGGCTCTGACCTGGAGCGGCCATTCGCCTCTCTGGTTTTCTGGTAGGCTTGCCTCAGCTCTTTAAGTTTCATGCGGCACTGCTTCGGGTCCCTGTTATGGCCTCTGTCCTTCATACCCTGGGAGATTTTGACAAAGGTTTTGGCATTTCGAAAACTGGAACGGAGTTCTGATAGCACGGATTCCTCTCCCCATACAGCGATCAGATCCCGTACCTCCCGTTCGGTCCATGCTGGAGCTCTTTGCGATTCTGGGACTCCATCATGGTCACCTGTGCTGATGAGCTCTGCATGGTCACCTGCAGCTTGCCACGCTGGCCAAACAGGAAATGAGATTCAAAGGTTCGCAGTTCTTTTCCTGTCTACCTGGCCAGTGCATCTGAGTTGAGAGTGCTGTCCAGAGCGGTCACAATGGAGCACTCTGGGATAGCTCCCGGAGGCCAATACCGTCGAATTGTGTCCACAGTACCCCAAATTCGACCCGGCAAGGCCGATTTAAGTGCTAATCCACTTGTCAGGGGTGGAGTAAGGAAATCGATTTTAAGAGCCCTTTAAGTCGAAATAAAGGGCTTCATCATGTGGATGGGTGCAGGTTTATATCGATTTAACGCTGCTAAATTCGACCTAAAGTCCTAGTGTAGACCAGGGCTTGGTCTGACATGAAAGCAAAAACTTATGGGACAGGGTGATGTGTTTGTTCTGACATCTTCAGCATTTGCTATGGGGGGATATGACAGTGGTCTATAAAATCATGAATGGTGTGAAGAAAGTGAATAAAGAAGTGTTATTTACCTTTTCACACAAACCGGGGTCACCCAGTGGAATTAATAGGAAGCAGGTTTAAAACAACTTAAGGAAATATTACTTCACACAATGCATAGTCAACCTGTGGAATTTGTTGCTAGGGTGGTTGTGAAGGCCAAAAGTATAAATGCATTCAAAAAAGAATTGGGTAAGTTCCTGGAGAATAGGTCCATGAATGGCTATTAGCCAGGATGGTCAGGAATGCAACCCCATGCTCTCGGTGCCCTTAAATCTCCAATTGCCAGAAGATGAAACTGGATGACAGGGGGTGGCTCACTTGATAAATTGCTCTGTTCTGTTCATTCCCTTTGAAACATCAGGGAGCAGCCACTGACAGAAGACAGGATATTGAGCCAAATGGACCAGTGATCTGACCCACTATGGTCATTGTTACATTCTTATGCTAAAATGCATATGGTTGGTCCAGCAGCTAGCTTTTGATAACTGTTATAAAAAGGGAAAAAAAGGGAAGAAGGGGGATCCTGGGAACTACAGGCCAGTCAGCCTCACTTCAGTCCCTGGAAAAATCATGGAGCAGGTCCTCAAAGAATCAATCCTGAAGCACTTGCATGAGAGGAAAGTGATCAGGAACAGCCAGCATGGATTCACCAAGGGAAGGTCATGCCTGACTAATCTAATCGCCTTTTATGATGAGATTACTGGTTCTGTGGATGAAGGGAAAGCAGTGGATGTATTGTTTCTTGACTTTAGCAAAGCTTTTGACACGGTCTCCCACAGTATTCTTGTCAGCAAGTTAAGGAAGTATGGGCTGGATGAATGCACTATAAGGTGGGTAGAAAGCTGGCTAGATTGTCGGGCTCAACGGGTAGTGATCAATGGCTCCATGTCTAGTTGGCAGCCGGTATCAAGTGGAGTACCCCAAGGGTCGGTCCTGGGGCCGGTTTTGTTCAATATCTTCATAAATGATCTGGAGGATGGTGTGGATTGCACTCTCAGCAAATTTGCGGATGATACTAAACTGGGAGGAGTGGTAGATATGCTGGAGGGGAGGGATAGGATACAGAAGGACCTAGACAAATTGGAGGATTGGGCCAAAAGAAATCTGATGAGGTTCAATAAGGATAAGTGCAGGGTCCTGCACTTAGGACAGAAGAACCCAATGCACAGCTACAGACTAGGGACCGAATGGCTAGGCAGCAGTTCTGCGGAAAAGGACCTAGCGGTGACAGTGGACGAGAAGCTGGATATGAGTCAGCAGTGTGCCCTTGTTGCCAAGAAGGCCAATGGCATTTTGGGATGTATAAGTAGGGGCATAGCGAGCAGATCGAGGGACGTGATCGTTCCCCTCTATTCGACATTGGTGAGGCCTCATCTGGAGTACTGTGTCCAGTTTTGGGCCCCACACTACAAGAAGGATGTGGATAAATTGGAGAGAGTCCAGCGAAGGGCAACAAAAATGATTAGGGGTCTGGAACACATGAGTTATGAGGAGAGGCTGAGGGAGCTGGGATTGTTTAGCCTGCAGAAGAGAAGAATGAGGGGGGATTTGATAGCTGCTTTCAACTACCTGAAAGGGGGTTCCAAAGAGGATGGCTCTAGACTGTTCTCAATGGTAGCAGATGACAGAACGAGGAGTAATGGTCTCAAGTTGCAGTGGGGGAGGTTTAGATTGGATATTAGGAAAAACTTTTTCACTAAGAGGGTGGTGAAACACTGGAATGCGTTACCTAGGGAGGTGGTAGAATCTCCTTCCTTAGAGGTTTTTAAGGTCAGGCTTGACAAAGCCCTGGCTGGGATGATTTAACTGGGAATTGGTCCTGCTTCGAGCAGGGGGTTGGACTAGATGACCTTCAGGGGTCCCTTCCAACCCTGATATTCTATGATTCTATGATTCTATGATAAATGTTGCTATGCACTCTATGAATGTTCAGTTTTGTTTAGGAACACTTGAAACATTCACACAATGGAAGTGCATTTTATGCCTGTCTATTCTCTTGCTGCATAGTGTATTTTGAATAAAGGTGGGCAAGAGTAAGGCTGAATTACATTTGAAAAAATGAAAGAAGTCTGGATGGAATGACTTAATAAGAGCTTCCGTAAACCAAGGAAACATTCAGAATGGTTGCACAGCCAACCGCAGCTTTCCACATCAAAATGTTAAGCAATGAACAATAAGGCAAATTTTAATTTAATAATGAACAGAAGTTATCAATAACCCAGTGGTTTTACACCATCCAAATGCCAGTGATAACAATATAATTAGATTTGAAACCAAAAGATGGAGATGAAAAAATGCAATTAGTAAGATAAAAAATGTAAATGGCAGAAAGTGCAGTTTGCTGGATTAAAGGAAATATGAAAGGTTAATTGGGAGCAAGAATTGAAGAAAAACTATTAGCAAGAATCTGGAAATGTTCAAAACAGTGCTGGGAAACTAATGATAAAACTGGAGTCATACACCTAAAATGATAAGGAAATTATGTACAGACACCCTCTGTCCTCACTCACGCGCTGGCCAAGCAGGGAACATCTAACAGAGGAAGATTCGAAAGAGATGGTGAAAGGAAGAGGGCATCGTGTCCAGTCCTTGCATTGCATTCAAACAGGTACATGTAGAGGGCCAGATTAGGGATGTAAATAACGTTTTTAAAAAGTAACCGTTTAAACTATTAAAATTCTTTCGGTTAAATGTTTAACTGTTAAGTTCACAGCATAGGCAGGGAACTGGGGTGCTGCAGCACCCCTGCATTTTATGTGGGGCTCCACTGCCACCCCACGCCTGGGATCCCTGCTGCCGCCCCACTCCTGGGGCTCTGTTGCTCCCCTGCACCTGGGGTCCTTGCAGCCGCCCCGTGCCCGGGATCCCGACAGCTGCCCACGCCCATCATCCTGGCTGCTGCCCGGCGCCCAGGACTCTCCTGCTGTCCCACACCCAGAAACCTGGCTACTAGCCCTGTACCCAAGGTCTCTGCTGCTACCCCATGCCCAGGATCTCACCTGCCGGCCCCGTGCCCAGGGTCCTGGCTGCCACACTACACTGGGACCCGAGCACGGGCTGGCAGTGGAGTTTAATTATTAATGGAATACATTACCAATAAGACTGATGCTTATCGGTTAAGTGGTTAACACTGTACACCCTTGGCCAGATCCTCAGCATATGTCAATCATCATAGGCCCCTTGCCTCTGATGCAGTGATTAAGATTAAGAAGCAGGCTCACAATTGTCCCACATCCTTTAGACCTTTCCCTGGAATGCCTCTCAATGCCTTCTATGAGAGAAGGGCTGCAGGTGGGGAGATAGGACCATTCAGAGTTCATTGCTGAGAAGAGATACAGCCCTTCCTGCCTCCCAATAGCTACAAAACCCTCCCTCAATAGCCCAGGCAAAAAACCCCAAATTAGCCAATTGACTAGCTGTAGTTCCCAAAGGGTTAACTTTTCCCTAATAAACCATCTTGCAAAGTGTTTATGTAAATGTAGTAATAGAACCATAGCAAGGAAGGGCAGGAAGGAACTTTGAGAGGCACGACCAAGTACACCTAGATCACCCCTAGCAGGTGTTTGTCTAGTAACTGGTTCTCAGAGACGATCCGTGCCTGCCGATAGTGGTGGGGGAGCGAGGGGGGACAGAGTGAGGGCAGCTGGCTTCAGCAGCGTTACTGAGCATGCTCAGTCCCAGTCCATGTAAACATGCTCAGTACAAACCAAGCAGCAAATCTGAGGGGGGCGTGTGACCCTACATGCCCCACCCCCTGCACGTGTCACCTCTGCCCATTCTTAAACACCCCATTGACAAAGTTTCCACAATCTCATTTGGAAGCCTATCTAGTGCTTAACTGTCCAGAGAGGTGGGCATTTCCCCCCCCTAACATCTAAGCTAAAAGCTCCCTTGATACAGATTAAGTCCATTGCTTGTCCTCCACTTCCACCGAGGATAGAACAATTGATCAGCATCCTCTTTAATACAGTGTGTGATGGGGCGCCTGCCCCCACTGGCCTGAAAGGGATTAAAGCAACTCTAGGGAGGATGCACAACTGGCAGCCAATTGGAGAAGACCCTAGGGAGGCTGTGCAGGAGACAGCCAACTGGAGAGGGCTGCGAGGAGAAGCCAATCAGGGTCGGACAGGCCCATATAAGAAGAGCCGCAGGGCAGAGCAAGTCTGTCACTCCCTGGAGCTCGGGGAGGGAGGAGGACTGGCTGTCTTGCAGGCAGAGGGCAGCTAGCACCTTGGACAGAGCAGGGCTGGCCAGGATTAGGGGAGTGAGAGGGAGCTCCCGGCTGATGGCTGACTTGCTGAGACCCTGAGACAAGGGCCGGAGAAGGTGCTGGGGCTATGGGAAAGTGACCCATGGAATAGACTGTGGGGTTGGAGGGGATGCAGCACATGGCTACCATCTACAGGGTCCCTGGGCTGGGACCCAGAGAAGTTGGTGGTCCCAGGTCCCCCCCCTACTCCCACTTGCCACTGAGGAAATGCCTGGACAGTGGAGTATGGTTCCTCTGGAAGGGGGTTGAACAGCGGGTGACATGGCCGGATGGCTGTGTCCTGAAGAGGACACTGTGTTTTTTGGGACAATGTGCTTCCTGGAGCAGTCGTGATGGTGGTGAGATGTTACCAGACAGGGCGCACGGGTGAACTAAGCTAATTCCCAGGAAAGCCAGCAGGAGGCATCACAGCAGTGAGTCAAACCCCATCACACAGCACTTAACACACCTGAAGACTGTTATAAGTTCCCCCCACCCACATCCTTGCCGTCTCTAGAGTAAACATACCATGTTTCTTTAACCTTTCCTCCTAAGTCAGATTTTCTAAGTCTTTCATCACTTTTTGCTGCTCTCCTCTGGACTTTATCTACAATTTGCCCATGTCAATCTTAAAGTGTGGTATCCACAGATAGACTCAATACTCCACCTGGGAGCTCACCAGCAGTGAGTAGAGCAGGACAACTACCTCCCACATGGAGGCTGGTGGCCCAAACTCACAAGCGTAGGACATACAACTGGCTGTGCCCAGCTGAGTTGTATCCATCACCCACCGCCCAGGACATGTAGAACATTAACATAAAACAACAGTCCTGATTCAGCTGACACTGTGGGGCTCTCTGGCCTCCAGTAACAGTCTGGGCCTTCCCCAGTCTCAGAGCTTGCCCTTTTGGGGCCTTCTGCTGCCGTCACAGGAGAGAACATCCCCAGCGCCCTCCTGGAC